GTCGGCAAAAGTCTTATGCCGATAATAGAAAGAGAGATCTTGAATTTGAAGTAGGCGATTGGGTCTACTTGAAGATCTCACCCATAAAGGGGTGATGAGGTTTGGTAAGAAGGGGAAACTTAGCCCCCGGTATGTTGGGCCTTATGAGATCTTGAAGCGTGTCGGAAAGGTCGCTTATGAGTTGAAATTGCCCAATGAATTGTCCCCGGTTCACCCGGTGTTCCATATTTCTATGTTAAAGAAGTGTATAGGTGAACCGGTGTCCATCTCCCTCTAGAAGGTTTAGGTGTGGATGAGAACCTTTCTTATGAAGAGGTTCCGGTCGAAATCTTAGATTGTCAAGTTAAGAAGTTGAGGAATAAAGAAGTTGCCTCCGGAAAAGTCCTATGGAGAAACCACCAGTTGAGGGTGCAACATGGGAGGCCGAGGCGACATGAAGTCCCGCTACCCTCATCTTTTTCCTCCTACTCCTAGCCATAGTTGAGGTTAGTAGTCTCTCTTAATTTGGTATAAATTGAAAAATCATGTGTGTTGATGATTATGACATGATTTCCTTGTATGTGCATATTTTTGTGAAAATTCATGCTTAAGTTGTATGTTGAATTTTCATGAATTTTGTTTCTCATGATTGAAATTGCACCCATAGATGTTGTGTGATGTTGTCTTCATGAGAGTTGTAATGAGCATGCTTGATGTTGTCTTGTTAACAAAATGTCTTGTTGATTGTTGAAAATATATGTTGATGCTCATTGAATATGGAGAAGGTAGTTCCTCCTATACTTATGTGAAGTAAAGAGTTTTGAGCATAGTGATGTTGTGGATTAAATTCCTATATGATATGATGATGTTGATGTGACTGGTTGTTGTGTGCTAGTTCGAGTCATTGTCTCCCTAGAAAGAAGCCTAGTGACATTCGGGGACGAATGTTCTAAGGGGGGATATTGTAACACCCCGAAATTTCGTAGGTTGAACTAGAGCCTAAATGTAGTGTCAATGAGGTATAAAATGAATTCCCCTAAGTTAGTAGACCATCAGGTGTGCTATGGTGGTCTATGAGTTAAGGCCTAAGGGAGGAGTGCCAAACAAAAGGGGCAAGCCAAGGCCTAAGGCCAAGGCTGCCCCAAATTTGGAGCGACTGCCTCAAACTCCACGGCCATCACCACGACTCGTGGTCATGACCACGGACCGTGGGAGGCTTTGTGGAGTTCCTTGGTCAAGGAGAGGGACTCCAAGTGTCCCAGACACTGCCTCACCCTTCACGAGAGGGACCACGATCGTGGTCCATTCACGGCTCGTGAAGGTGGGCGTGGAGTTCTCTTACTTTAGGGAGTTGGGGGTTGTTAGGGTAGCTACTGCCCAAGGCACCGCGGGCACCACTAAGGGCTGTGGTGCACTTGACGAGGGAGTGGGGTGGCTCGTAAACATCACTTGGCACCAAGGCTTGAAGGCCTTGCCTCCACAAGGCCAAGTCATGACCAAGACCATCACCACGACCGTGGTCATGACCACGGATCGTGGGAGGCTCCGTGGTCTTGCCTTAGCCAAGTGTTGGCTTGTGCACAAAAGGGGAGCCACTGCCTCCAACACCACGGGCAGTACCATGGCCCGTGGTGCACTTTCACGGTCTGTGAATGTTGGCCGTGGTCCCTGACGGGGACCATTTAAATGCGGAGTTTTGGGACTTTTCCTTTTAAGTCCTATTTAAGTAGGGGTGTTTTGGGATGTTTTTAGAGGTTAATTATATATTGGTTCTTAAGTCTAAATTCACAAGTTTTGGTCATTATACACAACACCCAATTGAAATCAAAACTCTCCCACTTCTCTCTAAACTCTCTCTCTAAAAACCTTAGAAGAAGAAAATACATTGGAGCTAGGGTTTCAAGGTTCTTTCCAAATTGCTTGGAGTTTCTCCATTGATTCTCAAGGAATCAACTAAGGTATGGTTGCTTATGACTCTTGGGATTCCTTTCCCCAAGAGGTCCCTTCAAGATGAATTTCAAAATCTCCAATTTCTAGGTTTTCAATCCAAAAACGTGGGTCTTCTTTCTAAAGTGAAATTGATGTTATAAACTGAATTTGATTGATGTTATATGAACAATTATGAATGAATATATGTTGTATTTGTGGTTTCTTGAAGAATTCCCCATGAGACCCATGTTTCTCCTTCTTTTCCTAATTCTAACCCTAGTTTGTGTTGGATATTGAGTGAAGGCTACAAATCGAATGTGATGTTATGTAATTCATGTTTGTATGATGATTCTACTCTAGGTTGTGTATAATTTCTATGAAATTAGGGTTGAGTCTTTGAATGAAGCCTTGAAGGCTATGAAGGGATTATGTCAATTGCTTATATTGATGTTGATTATGTATTACTTCGTGAATTACCTTGTATTATGTATTGGTTATGAACTGATTGGTGATTGTAGTATGAATGTCCTATGAAGGGCAAGAAGGTATAAAGGTTCGTTCTTCTTTGAACTCAAGTATGAAAGGTGAATTACTTAGATTGTAATGATGCTATACCTAATGTGTTGTTGTGGTGTTGATGACCTAGTTTCCTCATCATTAACCCTTTACACTTGAATTAGCTATGAAATAGTTATGTATGTTATGGTATGTTTGCTATATGATTGAAAGATAGTTCTCATGATTATAGTGTAATGTAAAGTGTAAGGGCTACTCACTTACTAAGTGTTTCTAAAGTGAAAGGATTGTTACTCACTTATGAACACATATGAGCTATTATGGTAAGATGTTTACATAAGAGTCTAGGAAAGGCTAATGTGAACTTATGTGATGACTAAAGATGATTACAAAAGGGAATTAGACGCTTAGCACCGAAAGGGCATGTAAATGAGATGGAGGTCTCACGTTTAGTAAGTCCGGCTCCCCACATGGGTTTCCTCACGTTTAGCAAGTCCGGATTACCCACGTTATGTGTTGTCTCATGAGATGGAAATCCCCCACGTTTAGTAAGTCAGGATTTCTAGGAGCAATCTCCTTGACCCTTAACTATGTGCCCACATAGGACTTTGTCTTAGTGGATCCACCTATATATCTATGTACGAATGGTTACACCTTAGGCAAGTGTTAACCCTCTCTTTTCGGTGTGGGAGTAGAACATCAAATTCGATGTAGCTCTCATGGTCTATGTCGGTTATGGCAATATCTCCCTAATGTAAAATTAAATGAAGGTATGAAAGGTGTGAACTCTTACTAGGGCTTTCTGAAGGGTTTCTACATTGTGTAAGGGAAGGTATGGGACTTCTCTTGCACATTGCACTTGTGGGATCCTAAGAGATGGTTGTAGAAGTGTTCTCTTATGATTATGACTTATGTATGTTGAAACTATGTTATGTATGATCATTATGAATATGGTAAGTTATGATGAAGTATGATCTTATATATCTATGCATGAAGTAGGTTGGTTAATGTGATACTTGGCTTTGAATATGGTTATGGGATTCTATTCCTTGCATTGCACTAGTATTACTTGGGTTGTCTACGTGTTGGGATGATATTATGTTGGTTTGTACTATGATGCTTACTTTGTGTGCATATTGGATTTACTTGGTAAAATGCATATTTTGACTAGGATGACCTTTTATGCATGTTTCAATGGTTTTTGTGCATAGTAGCCATACTTAGTACGTGTGTTGTACTAACCCATATTTTCTCCTTTTTCCCCAAACATTTAGGTTCGGGCCGTTGAGGATTCAAGCTTACTTCTCAAGACACTTGGAGTTGCTTCCCCAAGTTGGTGAGTCCTCAAGTTCGAGGACAAGACCCTATGATCTAGTTTCTATGTTTAGTTCTTTGCTTATGTTGAAAGACATTGTTGTACTTTCCTATTTCCAGACTTTTTATTGACGTAAGGGCTAAGTCCCATTTTCGATACCTTTATGTCTAGATGGGACATTGTGACAAAGTTAGATTCTATTTTCATATATGAAGTGAAGTTGAACTTCCAAAGTAAAAGTTTTAAATTTTCCGTGTTTTTATTCTATGATGCATGCTATGATAAATGCTAAGGACTCGTATAAGACCTCTTCGAGGTTGAATACGCCGGTAACGACTAGGGGGTGTTCTCGGGTCGTTACAAAATATACACGAGAAAATTTTCTATACGACCTTCAAGTTTTACATTAATTAAGGATGAAAAAAACACTGTGGTTGTGACTTTTTTACACCACCTAGGGGTTTAGAGTTTGACATTCAAATGGAGACAAGTTCCCCAATTTTCCATAAACAAAATGTTTCAATTTTTTCATTACTAGTTCATCCATCCGTTCACTTTTACTTGTTCACTTCAAATTTTCGATAACCCTTAGAAAAAAATGATTAATGTAGTTCACACCCAGCTTTGACAAGCGACAACAATGCCCTTTGACATAAAATAACTATTACTCCCTCTGTCCCAATTTATGTAGCATTTTCTTTTTTTCGAAAGTCAAATAGTTTAAGTTTGACCGGCAATTTGCACATGGAATGTTCAAAGTTTTTGAAATGAAATTTATATATTTGTAAACTATGTAAAAAGTACTATAAGTCACAATAATTTATAATTCATTTTAAAAAAAGAAACTATGAAAAACCTACTATCAAAAATAAACTTATTTGAATCTCCAAATCCGAAAAGTCTCACATAAAATGAGACGGAGGGAGTACTTCAATAACTATCAAACAAAAAACTAATAAAGGAAACCAACTCAACATGACCCCACAAAATAAAAATAAAAAGGAAAAAGAACAAAGAAAACACAAATAAATGAAAAAACAAGAAAAGCTCAAAAAAGCTAATTGAGCTCTTTTCCCACTTTTGGCTTCACCCGTCATGAATATGAATTAGTCCATCAGTATATTTCGAATATTGAATATCTATAGACTTTCTAAACAAATACATATGATATACATAAATTATATTCTTTGAGAAAAAGCCTTATTTTTATCGGGTTATCAATTAACACTTATAATATAAATAAAGTTAAAAAAATGCTTACCTAAGATAAATAACAGGGACGATACCAGCACGATACTCAGCGATCTTGAGGAACATAGGCATGGCGAGATCAAAATGAGTACGATGTGGATTACACCAACCACCATTATCATTAGGCAATGTATAATTTGGAGGACAAAAGTTAGTGTAGAAATCAAAAATTTCTGGCGAGTTGAATATACTATTTTATTCAAAGTTAATCTTTTGGGTTAAAGATTTTGTAATTTAGTTCAATGAATTTTATTCAGTTTTAAGCTTTGTATGCTTGAGTTAGTCTTCCGCTTGTAGTCAGCTAGGATGAGGGTTCGCTTGGGGGTCAACAATGGTTCTCGAGTGTCAGAAGTGCATGCCGACCATCTTCGTATATAGTTGGATTCAGTTGCCTTTTTGGGACATGTAGTTTCAAGGATATGGGTAATGGTAGCTCCCCAATACATTGAAGCGGTTAAGAATTGGGTCCGACCTAGTTTTGTGACTGAAGTTAGGTGTTTTGTCAAGCTCACTAGCTACTATCGTCGATTTGTGAAAAACTTTATTTCTATTGCCACGCATTTGTCAAGGTTGACCAAAAAGGAGGTGCCTTTTGAATTGACTAAGGAGTGTGAAGAGAGATTTCAAAAGCTCAAGACTCTTTTGACCACAACACCTATCCTTGCACTACCGGTGGAAGGTAAGGATTTAATTGTTAATTGTGATGCTTCACATTCGGGTTCGGGTGTTGTGTTAATGTAGGATAAGAATGTTATAGCTTATGCATCACAACATTTGAAGGTGCATGAGAGAAATTACCTAACACATGATTTAGAGTTGGCAGCGGTAGTGTTTGCTCTTAAGATCTGGCGGCATTACCTCTATGGTGTCAAGTGTGAGGTGTTTAGTGATCATCATAGTCTACAATATGTATTCACTCAAAATGATATAAATTTGAGACATCGAAGGTGGATGGAGTTACTCAAGGATTATGATGTGACCATTCAATATCATCCGGGTAAGGCTAATGTGGTGGCAGGGACATTAAGCTGAAAGGCAATGAGTATGGGTAGTCTAGCTTGCTTGAGTGTATCCGAGCGACATTTGGCTAAGGAAATTCAAACCTTGGAATCTAAGTTCATGCAGTTGGGCATATTAGAAAAAGATGGGGTTTTAACTAGCATTGAGGTGAAGGCCACATTCATTGAGGAGATCAAGGCAAAACAGTTTGAGGATGACAGTTTGAATGAGCTCAGAAAGAAGACAGTGTTTGTAAATGCACAAGATATCACTCTTGAAGCGGGGGGGGGGGGGGGGGGGGGCGTGCTCAACTTTAAATGAAGGATTTGTGTTCCTTGAATTGATGACTTGATTATGAAATTATTGACTGAAGCTCATGGTTCATGGTATTCCATTCATCCGGGTGTGACCAAGATGTACCGAGACTTGAAGCGACTTTATTAGTGGCCTGACATAAAGAAAGACATAGCCTAGTTTATGGTTAAGTGCCAAAACTGTCAGCAGGTAAAGTATGAGCATCAAAGTCCTGCAAGTTTGCTCCAAAGAATGTCAATTCCAGAATGGAAGTGGGAAAGGATAGCTAAAGATTTTGTGGTTGGTCTTCCTAAGACTTTGGGGAAGTTTGATTCTATTTGGGTAGTGGTTGACAGATTGACTAAGTTAGCTCATTTTATTCCGGTCAGAATAGACTATAATGCTCAGCAGTTGGCAAATGTTTATGTGAAAGAGATAGTAAGGCTACATGGGGTGCCACTTTGTATCATCTCAGACCGTGGTACACAGTTCACATCCAAGTTTTGGAGGAAATTACATGATGAATTGGGCACACAACTCACTTTTAGTATATCTTTCCACCCATAGCCGGACGGGCAGTCGGAGAGGACTACTCAGGTATTAGAGGACATGTTGATGTCATGTGTGATTGACTTTGGAGGGAATTGGGATAAGTTCCTACCGTTTTGTGAGTTCTCCTATAATAACAATTACCACTCCAACATTGATAAGGCACCGTTTGAAGCACTTTATGGGAGGAGATGTAGATCATCAGTAGGGTGGTTTGAGGCTGGAGATGTAAAACCTTTGGGGGTTGAATTGGTGAAAGATGCTCAGGATAAGGCAAGAAACATCCTAGCTAAGCTTTTAGCAGCTCAAAGTCGACAGAAGAAGTATGTAGACCATAAAGTAAGACACATGGCATTTCAAACTGGTGAGAATGTTCTTCTTAAAGTGTCACCCATGAAAGAGGTGATGAGATTTGGCAAGAAGGGCAATCTTAGTCCGCGATACATTGGTCCATTTGAGATTCTTGACTGTGTAGGGCCAGTGTCTTATAGATTGGCTTTACCACCTAGCTTATCTGGAGTTCATCCAGTGTTCCATGTGTCCATATTGAAGAAGTATCATGGGACGAAGATTACATCATCAAATGGGACTCAATTTTGTTAGACAAGGACCTTCAGTATGAGGAAGAACCGGTAGCAATTCTTGACCGCGATATCCGGAAGCTGAGGACTAAATAGATAAAGTTGGTGAAAGTTCAATGGAAGCATCGTCTAGTTGAGGAAGCTACTTGGGATGTTGTGAAGGACATGCCAGACAAGTATCCCCAGTTGTTCAACGATTCAGGTACTACTCTACCCTTACTTTAGCCCATTCTTTTCCTAGTTTGTCACACGGGGACTAGTGATGGTTAAATTGGTATCTATTGTAATGAACTGTTCCCGTCATTATGGTAAAGCCAACGTGGAAAGAATAAGGGCCAGAAAAACTTTTTGTAGTAATTTGGAAATTCCTATCCTAGTCCAGATTTGGATGAAATATGAGTCATGTGAAGTGTAGGGAAATTTGGTAATGAATAAGCGATTTAATAATGATTTGGATTACATGAGTAGATAGCTAAGACGTTAAGAAACACGTACAACTATACATAATCAAATTCGGGCAAGTGGAACTCCCAAAACTGATCTTAGCATGAAAGGGTAGTTTTTCAACATCATGGGTTGAAGATGTGTTGTGAAATGGGGGTTTGAAACTCTAATTTCGACTCTTTGTCTCTGTGTAAGCCATTGTAGGGGGATTATTCCCACCAGGGCGGGGCCGCTGTGGCGGGATGGGGTCTGCTATAGCGGCTTAGTCGCGAATTAAATCCCAAAAACGTTATTTTCCGCAAGTTTTGTTCTTGAGAGCTAAGAGACGACCCATGGGTATTTCTTGAAGGTTTTCCACCTATTCTAGCATTAAAGGTAAGGATTTTACTCCCCTAATCCCTTTTTCAATCCGTAGAACTTAGATTCTTGGTTATTATTATTGGGGAGGGTTTTAGACTAAATTTGATGGTGGAAAATAGCCCTAGCTGCATATTAGGATCATTGGTTTGGTATTAGGTTATTGGGTTTGTTATAATTCAGGTAATTGGACCTTAATTAATTGATCCTTGCATTAAATTGTTGTTTTTAGACCACGAACAAGCGGAAAGAATTTGGAAAGGGAAGATTCAAGTGCTTATGAGTCCAAGATTTGGACTCATTTAGGGCTTTGTTTATATAGAATTAGTGTGCTCAAAAGCTTATTTTGTGCCAATAACTGATGTAAAACCCTTGATTTAAATGTATATGGATTGAGGAACAAACAAAGGACACTAACAAGCAAAAAGGAACAAACTAGGCTGAAAGAATGAAGAAAGGCAGCCTGGTGATTGCCAAGATCACTCGGTGAATCGCAGAGTGGCTATTTGACCACCTGAAGTTCCAGTGTGCCAAGCCCTGAGGGCAGAAATCAAGTTGGCGACTGAAAGGAGTAGTTGGTGGATCACCGAGTAGTTCCTCTATGTAGTGCTGGATTGCCCAAAGTTACAGGAATGCCAAGGTAGAAGGGCGATGAAAGTGACCAAAGGGCGGCTCGCCGAGTGGTTCGGCGAGCTCGACTTACTTCGCCGAGTGACTCTGCGCAACACATTTTTGACGACTATAAATACATTTTTGAACATTTAGTTTAGTATCTTATATCATAATATCTTATCATAGCTCATATTTTTAGAACTGAGACAAGTTTTCTCTAGTTTTTTCTAAGCTTTGAAGAATTGAAGTTTTTCACTTTTGAGAAATTGGAAGTGGGTCTTTGAGATTCTTTGAATTGGAGCATTGTAAGGACGAATCTAGTCTTAACCAGTAGATGGATAATCAATTTGGTAACGGTTTTTACCTTTTTTATGATGTGTAGCTAAAACCTAAATTCTTGGGGTGTGATTATGTGATTTTGGGTTGATTTAGTTGATGGGTATTGCTAATTGTTAGTTTAAATGCTATTTAGAAGTGAGTTCAATCATTAAATGTGGTTTAATTTAAGAATTGTAGTTGCAAATGTAGTTCAAGCCTTGTGTTCTTGGCTTGCTCAAGAGAGATGTTTTAGAACTAAGGTTTTTGACTGATGGTCAGTGGGTATTGGGTTGACCTGGGTCCAGCTCGAGAAAGTGAATCCTAAACCCCATCCCACACTTTTAGCTCGAGAGAGTGAATGGGCTAAGGTGTGGGCTATTCTTATTTTGCATGCTTGTTGATGTTCGAGAGAAATCAACTTTATTCGGGGGTAAATTGTTCGAGAGAAAGTTTATCTCCTCTATACCCTAGCTTACTCACTGATATTTAGCTATTTTTTAATAGTTGCAATCACCCATTTGTTTATATTAGCCTATAATCTAATCACATCCCAAGAACCCGTCTCATTATTGTTATCTCATATTGTTTGCCACTGTTTGAAGTTGATAATTAAAACCAAAACCCCTCATTTGACATTCGTGTCACCCCTTGATTTGAATGATGTTTTTATTCGATAAATTTTATTACTATGACTTATTTGAACATGTTCATACTTCCCAATTGAATCTTATACACGTACCGCTCCCTGTAGGATTCGACCCCAACTCATTTAGTTGGGTTATATACCAAGTAACGATCGTTGACGCTTAGAATTGGATGAACTGTGTTTGAAACGATTAATGAAAATGGCGCCGCTGTCGGGGAGCGGTGTTGTTTGAAATTCTTTTGGTGAAGTTGAACTTTGTTCTTTTTAGTCATAGTTGAATCTACTTACTTTTAGTTTTGTTTTTTGTGTTGTTGTTTTAATGTAGAGAAAAAGAGTGTCAACAGAAGCAATGGTAGCCAAATGGGTCACCAAGATGACATAGGCAATCTCAATGATGTAAATGAGCCGAATGTTAATGACCCTAATCTAGTGGGTGGTGTTGGTAACATTCGCTTGCCTCCAGCTGAAGGGGACGCCGTGTTCCACATTACTAGCACCAGGTTGCAGCTCTTGCAATTGAAAGGGTTGTTTGGTGGGTCGGCTCATGAGGATCCCCATGAGCACATAAGGAACTTTGTTGCTGTCTGTGGGTCGTTCTCCTTTAAGAACATATCTCAAGAGTCGGTCCGATTGAGGTTGTTTCCAT